CATCTTGTTAATTTTTTTAAAAGTACAGTAATAATACTTCCTACTAAAACATTAATCATTCTTTTAACAAATTCATATACGAAACACAACTAATACAGATCTTGAAAGTTTGAAATTAATTCAAATAAGACGTTGTGTTAATAAATAGGTGTCGATTTTTAGACCTCAACGACCCCCAAAATCAGTTTTCGTTTATGTCAACCCCTGGGAAACCGATTACGACCCCAAGAGGTCGATATCGACCACTTTCGGAATCCCTGCTCTAAACGAATGAGAAGAATGCACTCGTGACTTGCAGGTAACGTGCCTACTTTTTGCTCTGTCATAAAAACCTTCAACTCGAAGAATTTTTATATTTGTATTTTATTCAACATTTGAAAATGCAACTCAAATAAGAAGAATCGTCCCACACTAATTAAAAAGACAGCATACAAAAGTACCAAAGAAATTTATATTTTTTTTAAATTGAAATATGATAATGGATTTTATAATGGCAACTTCAGTAATAAATATAGACAGCTGCCACTTGGTATACTGTTACAGTCTTACCACCGACATGGATGCTCAAGAACACGTATCCTTGTGGTCAGCGATGTGATCTGATAGGTAACCACTATGTATCATGTCATAGACTAATAACTGTACTTTTTGATGGTTTGGTACGATTACATAAACAAGCAGTTTTTTTTATGCTGTGATTTAATAAATGTGAAACTGAGTTTGTTTCTTAGGTTTTTATACCTTAACATTATATCTATACAATCGAACATTTTTTTTATGATAGAGGGGGTAAACGAGCAGACGGGTGACCTGATGGAAAGATTATGAAATAAAGTAAGAAACCTATGAAGACATAAGACATTTATTTTCACAAGGAAATCGCAGTTGAGTAGATAAACATTCGGCTACCTTCAGACCCTACAGGGACCCTTATTTAAGAAAACTAATCGGACACACCGAAATACAAGAAACTGATCCTATTTATGTTTAATAAATACTTGGTTTTGCCCGCGTCTCCTCCCGCGCGTGTTTGTTATCGCGGTTAAATGTAGCCTATGGTCTTCCTCAAGAATGAAACTATTTTCGTACCAAATTTCATCTAAGTCGGTTCGGCTGTTTAAGCGTGAGGAGATAACAGACAGACAAATAGACACACTTTTGCATTTATAATATTAGTATGGATAAATTCTACTTACGAAAGTTTTAATAAAGCTTAAGAAAGGATAGTTGGGTTATTTTCAATGCTTGAAGACAAATATTTGCATTGCTTTAGAAATAATAATAAATATTAAATCTGTGAATAGATTTTTTTAACAGATACACATACATATGTATATATATATATAATATTCATTCATTGTTGTCTCTCGAGTGATAGAGAACAATTGAAGTGAGGAAGGAGGAGACCAAAAATAAATTTGCGAAAATCCTTTTACCTAAAACAAAATACCCAGGTACCTTTCACAACAGAACTGTAATGTGTTAGGCAAATTAAAATTAACACACAACATGTGGACGTGCTCGTCTCGTGTTCGCCCCCCTTGCGGTTTCTAAAACATGTCTCTGTAGAAGTTTCTAGAATTATACATAAATTACTTTGATACTCGTATAAACTTTACGTGCAGCATAAGTGTTCAGGTCGTCTGAATAGACTTGGACTTATTATCTTTACCAATAGTTATAATTATAGCAGACGGGTCACCTGATGGAAAGTGACTATCGCCGCCCATGAACGTCTGCAACTCAGGAGTCACAAACGCACCGCAGCGAATGCTGGCCATCAGGATCATAAGGGGGTACCGCACGATCTCCTTCGAGGCGGCGAGTCTCCTGGCCGGAACTCCACCGTGGGACCTGGAGGCGAGAGCCCTTGCAGCACTGTATCAGTGGCGCAAGGAGGCGCAGGAGTTGGGTCGATCCCCCGAGATTCGAGAAATCGATGACCGGAAATCCCAACTCCGCCAGGTCATCATAGGGGAGTGGAGGGAACGACTCGGGCAACCGAGCGCCGGGCACGCCGTCATTGCGGCGGTAAGACCCGTTATGGAGGATTGGCTCGAGAGGCGTCACGGGACCCTCTCATACCGATTGACGCAGGTGATCACTGGGAAGGGATGTTTCGGAGATCACCTGTGTCTGATCCGCAAGGAGCCAACGCCTGAGTGCCACCACTGCGATGGCCAGACCGTGGACACGGCTCTCCACACGCTGGCAGAGTGCCCGGCGTGGGTTGAGCAGAGGCGAGACCTCGTGGCGGCCATCGGAGTGGGAGTTCTCTCGCTCGATAGCCTGATTGCGGCTATCGTGCGGAGCGAGAGTGCGTGGAACTCTGCCGTCTCCTTCTGCGAGCAAGTTATGCTCGCGAAGGAGACGGCGGAGCGGGACCGGGAGAGGTTTAGAACTCTCCCGGCCCGCCAGGCCCGGGCACGGGCCAGGCAGCGCAGGCGACTCAGGCGCCGGAGGTCGCAGAACGACCTCCGTCCTCCATAAGCGCAGGCCTGGGGGTGACAGGTGAGGCCATCTGTCACCCTAGCAGAAGCAGGCCGGGGTGGCGGCGAGCGCGTTGCGAAGCGCGCTCGCTTCCAGGGAGCACAGGGAACATGGGGTTCCCACACGGGGCGGGGGTCGTCTACTCGTCTGTAGATGACCCGAGGTATGTCGGGGCACCAGGGCCTTCCTTTCTAGGGTATACCTGGTTCCCCGGCTATTAGTACCCGGCGAAGGCGTGCGGTTTTAGTCGGTTCGAGTCCGACATGCCACCGACAGGTGGTATCCGAGGGGATTTCCGCACGGAAAAAAAAAAAAAAAAAAAAAAGGAGTCACAAACGCGTTGCCGGCCTTTTAGGAAGGAGTACGCTCTTTTCTTGAAGGTTTGATGGTCGTATCGGTTCGGAAATACCGCAGACGGAACGGGTTGTTCCACAGATTGGTTGTGCTTGGCAAAAAAGTGTCTCGAAAAGCGCACAGTAGGGAAACGCTAACTATCCAGGTAATAGTAGGCAAAAATTACTGAATACCTTTTAAAGGTTCTCTATTGTATTTTGACAAATATCGTGGCAAATAAAAGCAATATATTGAATACTTGTGGCTCTTAAATACATACAGTAAAGTTAAAGGGTTCGTTTTGTTAGTTATGCTAGATAAGTTTTAGAACTTGACGTTAAAAAAATAATGTATTTAATAGTAAAATACTTGATGAAGTTTCCAGAATTTTGAAGCAACTCTCTGAAGTGCTATTTTGATCACTGTTCTGTGACCATAATTAAATCTGTTATCTTGCTATTATTACGAATTCGGCAATTTGGATCAATCGCGCCAGAACGGCTTAACGGATCCAAATGACATTTGGCACAGAAATAGATTATAATCTGGACTAACAAACAATCTTCCTAAGTACGCATGACTGTGTTCTAACGTTTCTCTATTGTTCTCTATTCGCTCAAGGTTTGCTGGAAGAAAACTCAGTTTTGGGTGAAGCTCGCCATAGTACATGACATTTCCTTGTTACTTATATATATGTATGTGTTCAGTGTGTGTGTGTGTGTGTGGGTCAATAAAGAATAAAATAGAATAGACTAACATATAGGCTACTTTTAATCCCGGCCAAAAAAAAATGAATAAAATTAACAGTAACACTAGTTATAACAAATTAATGACACATACTGATAAGACGTGTTTCAACTAAACCGGAGATGTAACAAAAAGCCTAAACGACAGCCATCCTAAACACCACTTACCATAGACGTATCGCACAGAAAATAAGGTCACATACACAAGGTCACATCACACCATAAAAAATCCACTTTCACATATTACTAACCCAACCTCTTCTTATAAATACAAATACCTCATATGTTTCTACCTAACTTAATGACACATCCATTTTCGGTAACCAGTCATAACTCATAACGCGTTTTAAATGATAAAACATTATCTTTCACAGAAAACATTTTCATTATCGCGTTCCAAATAAAGGCGGCTAAACACGTTGATTACCATATAATTAGTATTGTTGATATTTTTTAAAGTACCGAGAAAGCAATACAAACACACGACCAATTGTGGAAAACCGGTGCTTGTAACTTCCTTATAGGCATTGCTCGGTATACCACAAATCAGTCCGACAAAATTTTTACAATAGTCAACTAGGGTAGAATAGAGAGAGGATACTTTAAGTAATCTGCGCATAAACATACAGCTGCTACTCCTATTAGATTTTCTGATAGCACAGTAGCATGAATTATGTAGAATTTAAGTTCATGATTTATCATCTTTTGTCATTCATTCAATCATCCTTTTTTCTTGTATTTTTTTACATTTGAAAAAGGTAAATTACTTTGTGAAAAATTGATAGTATTCCTTAATAACATGCTCAATAACGTAATTATACGGCAAGTTATTTGTGGATTACTGCAAACAATTTTATATTTTACTAGCTGAGACCCGCGGTGTTACCCGCGTTTGTTGTTATAACCTCGGGCAACGCTGCGGGGCGAAGCTAGTCTAAAAAAGTAGCCTAAGTTACTCCTTATGTCATCAGCTATCTGCCAGTGAAAGTCCCGTCGAAATCGGTCCAGCCGTTCCAGAGATTACCCGGAACAAACAGACAGACAGACAAAAATTGAAAAAAATGTTATTTTGGCATATGTACCGTGTAAACATACATATGCATTTAGTAAAAAGCGGTTATTTTAATATTACAAACAGACACTCCAATTTTATTTATTTGTATAGATGTATAACTATTGATCCGCACTTTCTTGCAATCTGTGGAAGTGATTTCGTTTCGGGAAACGGAAAAAGGGAAGGAAAGGAGGACGGAAGTGTGTAACAGAGAGTCGCGAGCTATTTGATCTGACCAATGAGTGAGATGAGGCGTCAAATCTTACATTAAATATGTGTCTTTTGTAAGACATGTTTCTTTAATAATTCGAAGCTACTTTTGTTTTATTTATTTAACGTTTTCGTAAATACATGGCAAACCTTATGTTAGGACTCACCACTAGTGAAAGCCGATGGTGCGGAGGTGGAGGCGGCAACCTCGACGGCCGTCGTGACACCGCGCACGGGTCCTTCTGCGAACACACGGTAAACAAAGAGTCATTACGCCTCCATACTGTGTCTTAACTGGAAATCAAAACAACTCATTGTTTTTTTTTATATTGATCACACTTTCTTACCGTGTGACACCTACTTAGAAAGTGACAATATGCTTAGAAAAGGGTTATACATATCAATTTCTTTATTTCTATGAAGCCGCATTTTTTAAAACCAAGACCTGATAACCGTCTTTATATATTTCATTACTTTTATTAATGATATATAATCATTAATGAAACCGTGTTAACTTTTTTTGACGGGCCTATTGGTCTAGTGGTTAGTGCCCCTGACTGCTAAGCCGGAGGTCGTGGGTTCGATTCCAACCCAGGACAAATATTGTGTGATGAACATGATCATTTGTTCTGTGTCTGGGTGTAATTTATCTATAATATGTATGTATTTAAAATATATAAGCATGTTTATCAGCAGTCTGATTATCGAGGCTCTGCCTAGTTTGGGATCAGACGGCCGTGTGTGAGATGTGTGAGGTATATTATATTATTATTATTAATTCTAAATACAAGATGAACATATATCTTTGTCTTATAAAAGTATAGAAAAGAGATGTCTCGTATGTCGAAGTCCTGAGATTTCCCTCAAATTTAATTGGTCCTGGTGTTTATAAAGTACTAGCTGTACCCTGCCATGCTTTGCTGCGGCACATCGTGGTTGAAAAAAGATAAAAACCATCTATAAAACGTGTTGTATATCGTATCAAAATTTGATCTCAATCAGTACAGAACTTTTTGAGTTTTTGAAGCGTACACAAACCAACTTAACATTTTTATTTATATACAAATGTCTTAAAGGCGTATATAATAACATTGATTAACTTGTCTCGCCATTCCTCATTTAAAGCCCTATCAATTAACTTAACTATTAATTATTATTTGATCCCATAAGCCTTGCCTCCAGTACTCTTCCACATCAGCCACCTACACAATAATTACATTATACTTATATGTGTAGCATTAAAGTAGCAAATAAGTTATTAATTACCTTGATAATAGATCTTATTAAAGACAGTGAATTTTGAGTCGATACCTAGGAAGACCACTTCCACTGGAAACCATATATTATTTTTATTAAACTTACTTATCTTCGCTAAAAAAGATATTTAATGAATAAAATAAATGTTAAAAGTGTATACTTTATTTTCTTTTAAACTTTAGAACATACATGACCATACATGTGAAGTAAAACAAACACAGCACGCCCACAAACGCAAGGTCGTGTGAACAGATGGCAATAAATAGACCATTACCATGGTATTACCAACACAGTAATATCAAATCTTATAACAGTTTAGAAACTTTCGAATGTATTTTATATCAGCTGCGCCCCGCGGTGTTACTCACTTTTTATCAGATATTACAATTTCTTGCTATTACCTACGTATTATGTATTAATCCATGTTGTCCAGGTAAATCCAGGATGTCGGCTACCTACATACTAAATTTTATCAAAATTGGTTTAGCCGTTTGAGCGTGAAGAAGTTACAAACATAAAAACACACACAGACACAAACTTTCGCTTTTATAATAACAAGTGACAGAACACCTATTGGAACACACATTATAATTCTCCAGTCAGGACAACGTTTAGGATGCAAAAGAGAGATCTCTTCGTGGATGCCAAAGAGAGATTTCTTCGATAATACGAGTAAGAATAACTTGACACATCTCACACACGGCCGTCTGATCCCAAACTGTGAAGTGTCCATGCTACGGTAACCAGACTGCTGTTAAACATACTTATATATTTATAAATACCTAAATATTAGAAAGACACATGAAAAATTATTGCACCCATCACACAATTGTTGGTCCTTTGTGGGAATCAATTCCCAATCAATCAGAATCACTAACTACTATTTGAACAGGGCAGTCCTGATTTCAGAAACCCAGTAACCCAGAGAGTACCAGAAAGTAAAAATAGCAGGTGGCTCTTCGGCCGCTGACGGCAGCCAGGTCACTGGGTTTTGATGATTCATGAGTATTTTTTATTAGTGGAAAAACCATATAAGGAAGTGGCTCATGTAAGATATCTTTTATGCAGCTACATCATCTTTCAGCCTTTGTTTTCTCGGATTATATCAGTAGCAGTGAGATTTCTTTATATGGTACAAAATCTATGTAACTACTGCCATATACCGGTAACGTTCGTACGACTGTAATGAGATAACTTACTGTATTACGTGTGTTGTTGCTGAGTCAGCGATAGTTATAATTAGTTGGAGATACTTTAGTTAGAAGCAAGATTAGTACACACATACATAAACATACTCCATACACACTAATAGCGTATTCGTTAATAAGCCTATAACAGTCTAATATAATTCAATGGAATGTATCGACGTTCCTTTTGAGCGGGACTTAAGTTAAATTCTAGATTTAGAAAGATACCAACAGTAATTGATGTAATTGAACTGAAAATACTTACAAAGTGCATAGAGAGCGTGGGTGCAGACTTCCCGAGCGCCGACCTGCGCATACGCACCAAGTTCGTACGTGAAGGTTTTGTTGCATCTGTAACAACACAACATATTTATTTTTTAAACATCCTTCTCAATATAATGGTTCACATATTTATTATCCTATATTTTAAAGCTAATTATAACAACAGAGTGCATTTTCACCTGACAAGTGCGTTCATTTCACACAGTTTCATATCACAAAAAGCACTTGGTAATGATCTTTAACTAGAAAAAAATGACTAATTCATATGATTTCTCACCTCGCCAATGACCTAGCTATTGGATTATGTTAAAATATTACTTAGAAATAACTTTGCATTCATTACTCAGTATAATTTCACTGCGAGATTGTGTAAACACCGCATAAATAGAATGACATAAGATAGGAAACGGTTCTATACTAGAAAACCAACAAGTACGAACCAAATTTAAATTCTAGGTTTTGATAAGGCTTGTAATAACTTGAAATAGCCGAAAAAATATTTAGAGTGGAAAATGACTGGCAGCGGATGGATGTGGACTGCCCAAGACTGGGATCGTTGGCGCTCCTTGGGGTAGGCCTTCGTTCAGTGGACTGCGACAGGCAGATGAGGATGATGTCATATATGTACAACATTTAATATAACAACACATTAAATAAATTATCAAATTGCGAATTGGAAGGTACGTACGGTGTTCGAGTACGGAAAGTATTCGTCGTGTCTTTTTCTATATATTCCAGTATGTACAGTGTGATACAGACAGACAGTGGGCTTAGTAATAGGATTCCGTTGGCTTCCTTTAAGTACGGAACCCTAAAAGAGGAAAATCACTTCGACTACAGAGGAAAACACTATGTCAGTTCTGTCAGAAATAAAAGATTGACACATGCCTTTATTTGATTTTTAGTTTCTTTCTGTATGTTGTTTTTTAACTTTTGTTTTATTTTTGTATGCTGTGCTTTATGAAATAAATAATATTCTATTCTACTAGCCCACAAAGAGGGAGATTGCAAATGCAGAGCAGGCTAGCTAAAAAAAGAGTTGTTTAGAGATAAAATGTTTCAAATTTTTATAGATGGTTTTACCCAAATACTATGACAGATTTTTTTATACAATTGAAGTAAAAGTCATATTAAGTACCAAACTAGAAAATTTATTGGTTATTAGGTTATAAATATTTTTCACAAGATTATTTTAACACAGATGATATAAAATTAAGGAACAAACATTCTTGGCAAACTCGTCCACGATAAATATTCAAGAGTATCTGTTTTCATACGTATTATAATATTAACTATATTTTACGTACTAGCATCTAAATGTAATGTTTATGTACGCTATAAAAAGCGTCTGTTTACAGTTTACGACTTCAGAATTACTAGATCATGAATAATACTATCAGAATGACTTCTAATCTCGAATTGTAATTTTATAATAATAACACACTAATTTGTCTATAAATCCACCTTTTCTTTTTTTTTTTGTGCGGAAATCCCCTCGGATACCACCTGTCGGTGGCATGTCGGACTCGAACCGACTAAAACCGCACGCCGTCTCGGGTACTAATAGCCGGGGAACCAGGTATACCCTAGAAAGGAAGTCCCTGGTGCTCTATAAATCCACCTATAGTGGCAATATAGGATAGAGAATAGAATATGCTTTATTGTACACCAATTACAGTAAGTTGGTTAAATATTACAGATGGATATGTACAATGGGCGGCCTTATTGCTGATAGCAATCTCTTACAGGCAACCTTTGGATGGACAAATGGACAGTAGATAGAAGAAACAGTGGGTAGTCTAGGTGTATTGAAGCTAACGTAGTGTAAAAATAAATAAATATACATCATCATCATCATCATCAACAGCCTATACTAGTCCACTGCTGGACATAGGCCTCTCCTTAGAAAGGAGGTTTTGGCCTACTATACCACGCTGGCCAGACGGGTTGGTATAGGGTTTGTTTCAAGTTTTCCTTCTCTTTGCAGTGCTGTTGTCCTGCTTAGTTTGCTCCCTTAGTCGGCTCTTACGACACCCACGGGATGAATTGGGGTGGTGACAATTTGTATTCTTAATCCGTCACCACACGGACATTATATAACGGACATTATATAATTATACATACACATACATACAAATACATATATATATTATACATATATACAATATAAGTATAAACAATTGATATTGATAACCATGAAAACATTAGTCAAATATGTGTAATATATTAGAAGGAAAATCTTATCACACACGACTAGTTTCTAATATGAAAAAAAATATGTTTATTTTTACACAATTTGGCAGCTCAAATAATCTTTAAATACCTTAAGATCCCGGAATAACTTTCAAAATTACATTTCGTGGGTGTTAGCACGTATTTTGTAATACTGTCATTTGCCAGTAGCTATTCTCAAAATACACCAACACATTGCATTAATGTTGGAATTATTTAAGTTATGTCCGATACAGCGGATCTCCGCTCCTCAATTACGTCATAATTAAAAAAAACAAATTATCGAGAAAAAGTGGGTTAACGTTAGAAGAACAAGTGAGAAACTTCCTTGAATCTACAACTTGCTTGGATCTTGGTTTGCAGTGAAAGAACCAGTGATACTACCTCACAGAAAACCGGTGTTAAGTAATCCTTTCGGTGCTTATAACCAAGTGAGTGATATTACCGGAGGTAGTCCTGTATCGCGCAGTCAAAGTTCTCGATTATACACTTCTCAATAACACAAAAGTTTCTTCCAGCATGATTACCTAGTCTTGTCAGAGAATGTTCCCTTTGTACAAGAAAAACATAAAGTTAGTTCCTTGTAAGTCATTATTTTATACAAAAAATATAGCTTTTTTGTTTAATTTTTGTTAAAAAGAAGCAACATAATAGCATGGCTACTCTCAATCGAGCCCTACAACCCTATGAACGTCAGAACGCTCGAACAGTATCACGTCTAGACTGATTATAATTCACATGGTGATTCATCCTAAGATAATGTGCTCCGTGTAAACAAAAGATTAACTATTTATATGCTGTTAAAGTATGTTACGATATTGTAAACAAATTATCAGAGCTTAATGTATTGTAGTGGTTATTATGATTAGAATTTACGATGGAAGTAGCACTATTTCTATTGTCAGCATTTTTTGTCCTTTTTTCAATTTTGGTTGCGGTCGGCGCAATGTGTAAACTTCACAAAAGGTTTTCGTTGATTACTTTTTCTGGCCTGACGCCAATCCTCGTTGGGTAATTAATGGAATTCAAACGGGACAAAGAATGAAGGTACATAGGATACGAGAACAGAAGGATACTCGTACTATTACCATAACCAACTCCTAATTATTCTGATTAATTGTTCGTTGCGGGTTCCGAGACAGTTTTAAAGGGATATTCTTAGATGAGAGACACGACTGGGACTGCAGTATTTCGAAAAGGCCAGTGTGGTATTTCCGTATGTCCGTCCGTATTGGAGAGACCACTTGAGCACAACAGAGACTTCAAGTATTCTATTTCAAACTGACAAATGTTTAGATAAAAGACATCAAAACTTTTATAACCTAAGAAGTCGAAAATCTAAATAAACAGAGACTTCCAAACGTCTTGTGGGTGACGTTTTCTTAAAACAGTAACAGTACATTTTTGTGAAAGAAAGGTACACTGAGCCCTTTTTGTACGTGTGATAACCTGCACGAGTAATTGTATAATGCAAACCTGCATGAGTAATTACGTCAATCTTCATGAGTAATTAAGTCAATTTTAGTATTAGTTCGGATTACTGCAATTGCAATAACAGATATCCTGAGATGACGTGCTAATATCTTGAGGGCAAACCGAGGTCAGAACAAAAGAAACTCATACGTAGAAAGATTGGAGACAATTCAATTCAAATTATCTTAATTTCATTAAAAAAATTGTTGAAATCGTCTTTTATGTAGACTTTAAAGTCGTAGATCAACACACACAATAGCAACAATTTCTGTTTTGTTAAATAGTTAGTATTTATTTTTAAATAAAATTATGCTTATATATAATCTCTGATATGCCTGTGCCGATCCACAACCGCCCGTTTCCAAGGGGTTGAGCCATTTGAGAAGAAAGGGCCCACATCACATTTCCACTTAAGAAATGGCCTGCGCTAAATTATTTCCAAGCATTTTTGTCTTCTATGTAATCCACAATTGAATAATAGGCTCTCCGACACAATTCACGTTTAGTTAACGCGGATTTAAGATTTTTAATACTTAAGTCTTGAATATTACTTGGGATTTTATTATAAAATCGGACACATTGACCTCAAAACGACTTGTTTATCTTTTGGAGCCTAGAGGCAGGTACTAAGTTTATTTCTATTTCTGGTACATTTTCATATATATATTGACATGATACTGTCATTATGTTTATTTTTTTAAATTACTGCCTCAATGAAAAGCAGTTGCCTAAATTATGAAGTGCTCGAATCGCTCTCTTGTGCAGTACAAAAATAGTTTGAATGTATATACCTACTTATAGCTGGCAAACAAAAGATAAGCATATGTTTTTTAAATATATCACTTTCAAGGTAATTTGCACTTAATTGTTTACGTAGAAGAGTGGAAATTCATCTATAGATCTCTAAGAGTGAAAGTACGATTATTTATTGTTCTTTGGTGACTTGTAAACATACTGAATTTCGGTAGCGAAATCTATGCCCTGCCTTCTGTTGGCAAAAACAACAGCCCTGCACATCAGACATTACGTAAACAATGGCTAGTCCACTGCTGGACATAGGCCTCTTCTTAGAAGGTATAAGGTTTGCTTCAAGTTTGCCTTCTCTTTGCAGCGCTGTTGTCCTGCGTAGCTTGCTCCATTAGTCGGCTCTTACGACACCTACGGGATGAATAGGGATGGTGACACTGCGTATTCTGAACCCATCACCATACCTAAGTCAGTTTTCCGTGTGGACAACAAACCTGAGTATGCTTGCAGCTAAGCAGCTTGTGCTATGTTCTCTGGATCAAGGAAACAGTTGACATTGTCCCGACTGGGTTTTGTGGAATCTTCATTACATATCGATTTTTCTTGAAGGTGTATTT